GCTAGCAGCACCGGATGTATCTTTAGGTTTACCCATGACTAAGCTGTCAAAACACTCGTCAACAAACAATTCCAGGCTCTCCAAAGTCTCCTCGTCCAGTTTGTTTGATTGAATGAAAAAGTTAGTTAGTACTATTTAGGAGTTTCTTAATGATCTTATATTTAATTAAACAGTTTTTATTTAAATAAATACGGACTTACCAAAGTTTTATCATAATACTCACGCACAGTTTTTTCCTAGTTCTCAGCAACAGCTCATTGCACCGCCACACCCCTAGTTCAGTCTGCCCAGTCTGCTCCTCAAGCAGCACCCACGTTTCTGATTTTCAAAGCTTGGCTCAGAACAACAACATGAACAAACTGAAGTTTTTCCCAGTTTATAGAAACCCCAGGATTAGCAGGTGGAACACTAGCGTTTTGGTCTGTGCGACAGCTTTCTAACTGGACCGAGCTAATAAGAGCAGATCGTCCAGATAAAAAGAATTCTCATTCCTGCCATGTGTAACGACTGCAGAGCCGTCTCCACGCATTTCGAGAATGTGCGTGGGGTGTTTCAGAATGATGGAAATGTGAAAATATGTGCTCTTCAGATCAGAGCGGGCACGCATTTGTTTTGTGTCATGTTTCTCATGAACGTCAACCAGACTAAAAAATCCTTACTGCCATCACCCGCTCTAGAGATTCTCCGGGGGAACCCAATGGGGGCTCTGACAGAAAAAAAAGGGCTGTATGTGTTCCTCTGTGCTGGGCCCAGGCTGCGGTCTCACATAGAGCTGAGGTGAGCTGGCGCGCACCGAGAGGAGGCGTGAGCTCTTTCTGAGTGAGACGCCGTTTCGGTGGAGGCTGCCGCTGTTGTGGAGAAACACGTTTACTCCCGCTGCGCTGTGAGTGGGCAGAAAACAGCAGAAATTAAAAATGGGCTTTGGCCGAAAAACGAGGGATTTCACCGGACTCGGTCTGCTGAAAAAACATAATTTTAGCTGACGTGGCAGACGAGTGTTTTGTGATATTTACTGAACTGCGGTGCCATTTAAAACGCTGTTTAGAGGTTACTGGCTTATTCTGTGTGGGGAATGTGTGAAGAGAGGCAGCTGTGAGCTCAGCTGATCTGACAGTCTCAGATGAAAAAAACTTTACTTTCAGAGGTGTATCTGATTTATATCAAAAACATACATCATCAAAAAACACATACCTTCCCCTCAATGATCTGTTACCTGGTGGAGGGGGCCGGCGGAGGAGCGGGACGTGAAGTCGCTGTCGCAGGGGAACCGAGGGAAAAACACTGATCGGTAAAACCTCCACTCTGGAGATGGCAAAGGTGGAGACGGATGTCTTCAGCTTGCCGGTCTAGCTGCAGCCTCGTTCCAGTGTGACGTCACAGCTGGACAGCGAGGCCAGATGGGGTCAGGGCGACAAGCTGGGGCGGAGCCAATCTTGCCGCCAGATCATCCGATCATGGCAGAGGGAGGCGAGGGACAGAAAGTCCCTTGTGTTAACATCCTCCTGGATTAGGCCGGGCAGCTCCGAGAGGAGGGCGCCGACGGCTGGGAACGGTGTGGTCGCCGACGTGGGAAGAGCCGAGGTGGCTGAGCATCTGCTCGGCCACTCGTCTTCCGTCACTACGCTCTCCAGGAGGGAGGGAGCAGCTCCGCAACGCCTTTCTCAGAGGAATCATTTGATTCACTGAGTGACTCTGCGTCAAAGAAGGCGGTGGCGTCGTCCTGCGCATAGCATCCAGCCACAGAAAAAAACACTCAGCGGAGCTGCTGCCAACAACGCCTTTTTTTGAGGGGATCATCCAATTTACCTCGAGAAAAAAACATGTTAGAAAAGGCGGTGGCGTCGTCTAGCGAGTGGCGGCCATCCACGGAAAAGCATTCAGCGGGGCTGCTGCTAACATCGCCTTTTTGAAGAAATCATTTGATTACTGCGAGGAAAAAACACGTTAGAAAAGGCGGTGGCGTCGTCCAGCGGGTAGCGGCCCTCCACGGAAAAACATTCAGTGGGGCTGGTGCTAACATCGCCTTTTTCGAGGAAATCATTTGATTACCGTGAGGAAAAACACGTTAGAAAAGGCGATGACGTCGTCCAGCGGGTAGCAGCCCGCCACGGAAAAGCACTCCTCGGCACTTACCTTGAACAAGGCTGTTCGTCTGCTTCTCCTTGGAGAGGAAGAGCTCACCGGGACAGCAGGAGGTTGGCGTGGCGGAGACCCAGGCATTCTTAGCAAAGGTTGTGCCGGTCAAAGCTGGACAACTTTTCATTCTTCTGACAGTGCTAGCTAGCTGGATGAAGAAAAAAATGGGAGCCGATTACCCGGTCTCACTGTAATTCATACGGACCGGGGGTGAGGCCCACACACAGCAGGTGAGCGTGGACTAAAGTTTTCAGTGCAGCGCTGAGCGCCTAGGGATAAACCCACCAGCGACAGCCTTAAAGGGCGAAGCCTATACGAAATATAACCTATAAACATATTAATCTCTAAAACTAAACCTAATGTGCACCACAGCTGGCGGTGGTGTGGGGTGGTTGTCCGCCCACTGTTTTTAGTTTCATTTTTTACGTGCAGCATGTTTCTTTCACTTTTGCAGCTTAATAATAATAACTAATAGTTTAGTTTTTCCTGTGACTTATTTGCAGTATGATAAATGGTAGGAGCATAATATATGCTCCCAATGTTTTGATGGTCTTTTTTTGTAAATAATGACCTTTTTTGCAGTTTTATTTATTTATTTATTTTTACATCTTTAGATCCTATGATGTCATCAAGTACTCAAGTTATACTCGAGTTTTATTATGTTAATGTCGAGTTTAAAAATTATGTAGTCGTTCAACCCCTAGTAGATTGTAAACAGAGTGGGTCCTAAAACTGAGCCTTGTGGTACATCATTGTTGACTGTTAAATAACTGGAGGAAGTACCATTAATTGAACACATTGTCTCTGGTCTGAGAGAGTTAGTGAACCAACCAATGGTATGATCTGAGAAACCAATTTCTGAGAGCTTATGACACAAGATGTCATGAGCCACAGTGTTAAAAGCTTTAGACAGGTCTATGAAAAGTGCAGCATTTCCCGGCCACGACGACATCAACAACCTCTGAGTGGCCCAATGGTCAACCTGTAGCAGCTGTCCCTGCTGCACAAAGATGAAACAGAAAAGGAAGAACACATTGATATCCAAATAGAGAAGGAGCTGCAACCGGAGGAACAGGTGTTGGTAAGAACACGGTACAGAACCAAGGATAGGAGCAACAGATGCAACAAACCAGAACTGGCCCTTAAGTAGGAATGTCGGGGGAAGTCCTCTGGTAGAAAGGAGCAGTTCTGAGTGCCAAAATGTATTTTCTACCAGGCAAGCTTGTCTTGTCAAATCAGACAAGCAGCACCACCTAAAGGTCTAATGCAGAAATCTAATGAAGCCTGGGAGATTGACCTTCTCATGTTTGACATGTTACTTTTTATTGATGTGGGTTTTTTTTAGGTATTTTGGCTGTTTATAAAAAATAGCTACTTTAATAGCTACTGCCCAAAATACTAACATCCACAAACTTTATTCCACGAGTTGAACACCCATAGCAAATTACAACTTACTTTCACAATAATGCACTCATTCAAAGTACATGACATTATCACATTATACATGTTGAATATTCTCAAATATAATCCCCAAAAATCATGATATAATTATGGATAACCTTTTTAATGAGTGATGTCATGTCACATGTCGTGTTGTCATGGTTTGCAGTGTTTTATGATCTTCATTGTGGTTCCAACCTCAGCGTTGAGAACCACAGTATTATCTCACACACGTGTGCTGAGTGTGTACATCCATCCCATGAGACCATAAAGGTCTCATGCTGGTGGTGGTGGTGTGTGTGTGTGTGGGGGGGGGGGGGTTGCCTTGATTTGTGGTTAACACGTTGTAATTTTATTATGTGTTCTTTTTTTTTTTGTTAGACAATACAAATGCAGTTTATTTGAAGTTTTTTGTACTATCCTTACATATCCTTTTACTGTTCTGAAATATTAAAAAAAGAGCACTGAATGTTTGTCATTGTCATTTGTGATCTAAATAATCTCAATTAAAAAAAAAGTTCCACAACAAAGTTGTGATATAAATGAATAAACTCATGATGAACTGTGGTGGCCACCTTAAATTGGGGTGACTCCAAACATTGACCAGATGTAAATTCACAACTTTCCAAAAGTTTCTTTCAAAATTCGTCCAGTGGTTCAGGAGATATTTTGCTAACACACACACATGATGTAGCCTAACCCTGAGCCTCACCCTAAAGCATGGCTATTCAACTAAACTGCTTGGGGCCATAGTTACTGGGAGCCAGCAGCTCAGGGGCCGGACATCCCGCGATTAAAGTCATTATGTAAATAAAACAAAGTATTATAAATAATGATCTGTTATCTTTTAAATTTGTTCATTTTGTTGCATTGAGTCATAAATGCAATAAACAGAACCCAAACCAAGAATCACCCCCCCCCCCCCACACACACACACACACACACAAACACAAATATTTTTCAGGGGTGCTGAGTTAAAATTTAGGGGTACTTGAGCACCCCCCAAAAGAGGCTAAAATCGCCACTGGCACTGCTCCTCATGGAGCCACATAAGGAGCAGTTGGTTCTCACAAAGTTGCATGTGTTGGAAAAATGGGCCAAACACAGGCGGCTCTGAACTTATCGTCACATGATGACGTCAAGGCGCAGAAAGTGTTGCGCACATTGCGGAAGTAACTTTTTGTGTGGGCAGAAAGCTGTGCAGCTGAAAGATTAGCTGAATGTGTGAAAGATGAACAATGGACTCTTAGCTCTAAGAAGGATTTATTTTGTAGGCCATCACTCCCCCCTCAGGTTTGTTTGTTTGTTTGTGAGTTTTGGAGACGTGTTGTCTGTCTCCCACCTTCATTCGTCGACTCTGCTACCTCGGTGCTTGGACTTCCGGTGTCAGCACACCGGCTCGGACTGAAGTGTCTCCTGTCCATATGTGTCCCCCGCAGCTGAGGACAGTGGTTTTCGTGGCCTGGTTGCTGTGTTACTTCGCCTGTCTGCTGTCTGTGAGGAGGATGTGGAGCGGGAAGTACGCCCGCAGCCCCCTTGTCCGCTCGCTGTTTGAGAACATGGTGACAGAGGAGGAGGAGGAGGACAGACTGGAGGTAGGAGTCAAACCCGGGAGGTCAGGTCCAGATCCAGGCTTCACTGCAGCCTTTACTTTACCTGTGTAATCTTTCTGAAGATCCATTGTCCTTCTGTACGTTTTTCAGCATCTTTCCCATCAAACTGTTTTTGGGCTATTTCAACAAATCATAAATCAAAACCTTAAGCTCTTTCAGGACAATCCTGCACTGACTTTTGGTATTGGTGCAACTTTAGCTGTTTGAAATATTTAGCCGTTTCTGACATTTTATTTCTCATCGAAAATGAATTGAGTTCATTGTACATCCTTCACATCATTAGATGCGTTAACAACCTTTTACTGCTCCTTTCACACGTTGTTCTGCTTCAGCTTCTTTCAGCTTCCTTCTGCAAATTTAAGCCTTTTTCAGCTAATTTCAGCTGTTTTACTCAGCTGTTTTGTGCTCCTTTCATATTCTTTCTAACTATAACATTGTTTTGCTTCATCTAACTTCTTTTTGTTAATTTCAGCTTTATTTATCCAAGTTTCAGTTTTTCTGCTTTTGCAGCTACTGTTTAGCTGTTTTTATGCTAATTTTAGCCGTTTTGGCTAATTCCACATTTTTGCACTCATTTAAACTTTTTTCAGCCTAATTAAGCAAAAATGTGCTCTTTCCACTTCCTTGTAATTTAAACAGTTTTTTCTAATTTCAGCTTTTTTAAATTAATTCAGCAAATATGTGTTCTTTCTGGTTTCTTCTGCTAACTTGGGCTTGTTCTTCCATTTCAACTACATTTCAGCATGTTTTTAGCTGATTTCAGCTGTTTTTCAGCAATTCTTCAGCAATAAGCATTCACACTGCATTTTTGCAGGAAATGCAGTTTCTCTAGTTATTGTTTCATAAAGATGCAAATGAGCCTTTTCCACCCAACAGACTGTCCCTTCACATTTTATTTCACATATATTCCAAATTTCAACTATTTTGACTGTTGGCACTTTTTCAAACAGCAAAATGTCAAAAATGGTTAATTACAAAATAATTTTCTGAAGTAATTAATTTAGTCTTTGGTGTGAATGAAAGTTTATTAATAGTTATTCATGAAAAACAACTGGTTAATCTCTAACATATATGTAGAGTTTACACCTAGTGTTGTGACAGATGACAAATTTTCAAAGGAAATTATCTCAAAACATTAATTTTAAATACTGTAAATGTCCAGTTTTTAACGCAGATATATAGGTCCTTCTCAAAAAATTAGCATATTGTGATAAAGGTCATTATTTTCCATAATGTAATGATAAAAATGAAACTTTCATATATTTCAGATTCATTTCACACCAACTGAAATATTTCAGGTCTTTAATTATTTAATACTGATGATTATGGCATACAGCTCATGAAAACCAAAAATGCCTGTCCCAAAAAATTAGCATATTTCATCCCACCAATGAAAGACAAGTGTTTTTAATACAAAAAACACCAACCTTCAAATAATCATGTTCAGTTATGCACTCAATACTTGGTCGGGAATCCTTTTGCATGAATGACTGCTTCAATGCGGCGTGGCATGGAGGCAATCAGCCTGTGGCACTGCTGAGGTGTTATGGAGGCCCAGGATGCTTCGATAGTGGCCTTAAGCTCATCCAGAGTGTTGGGTCTTGCGTCTCTCAACTTTCTCTTCACAATATCCCACAGGTTCTCTATGGGGTTCAGGTCAGGAGAGTTGGCAGGCCAATTGAGCACAGTAATACCATGGTCAGTAAACCATTTACCAGTGGTTTTGGCACTGTGAGCAGGTGCCAGGTCGTGCTGAAAAATGAAATCTTCATCTCCGTAAAGCTTTTCAGCAGAGGGAAGCATGAAGTGCTCCAAAATCTCCTGATAGCTAGCTGCATTGACCCTGCCCTTGATAAAACACAGTGGACCAACACCAGCAGATGACATGGCACCCCAGACCATCACTGACTGTGGGTGCTTCACACTGGACTTCTGGCATTTTGGCATTTCCTTCTCCCCAGTCTTCTTCCAGACTCTGGCACCTTGATTTGCAAATGACATGCAAAATTTGCTTTCATCCGAAAAAAGTACTTTGGACCACTGAGCAACAGTCCAGTGCTGCTTCTCTGTAGCCCAGGTCAGGTGCTTCTGCCGCTGTTTCTGGTTCAAAAGTGGCTTGACCTGGGGAATGTGGCACCTGTAGCCCATTTCCTGCACACGCCTGTGCACGGTGGCTCTGGATGTTTCTACTCCAGACTCAGTCCACTGCTTCCGCAGGTCCCCCAAGGTCTGGAATCGGCCCTTCTCCACAATCCTCCTGAAGGTCCAGTCACCTCTTCTCGTTGTGCAGGGTTTTCTGCCACACCTTTCCCTTCCCACAGACTTCCCACTGAGGTGCCTTGATACAGCACTCTGGGAACAGCCTATTCGTTCAGCAATTTCTTTCTGTGTCTTACCCTCTTGCTTGAGGGTGTCAATGATGGCCTTCTGGACAGCAGTCAGGTCAGCAGTCTTACCCATGATTGCGATTTTGAGTAATGAACAAGGCTGGGAGTTTTTAACAGCCTCAGGAATCTTTTGCAGGTGTTTAGAGTTACGTCGTTGATTAGATGGTTAGGTTAATAGCTTGTTTAGAGAACCTTTTCATGATATGCTAATTTTTTGAGACAGGCATTTTGGGTTTTCATGAGCTGTATGCCATAATCATCAGTATTAAAACAATTAAAGACCTGAAATATTTCAGTTGGTGTGCATTGAATCTGAAATATATGAAAGTTTCATTTTTATCATTACATTATGGAAAATAATGACCTTTATCACAATATGCTAATTTTTTTAGAAGGACCTGTATGATCTTAGTCTTATTTGAGAGTTCTTCCGAAACCCTTTTAATTGAAATAATTGTTTTAACATAAACCTCTTTATTCTTCGCATACCAGCCTTATAGGGTTTTATCTCTAATCGTTAAATTGTCCACGATTTTTCTTGACTTCAGTTTGTTAGAAACACAAAAATGTCTGTGTGTCCAACAATCAAGTTCAAGAATCTTTATTATCCCCAAGGTGCAATTAGTTTCACAGTCAGTAGGCACAAAACAGCCATACTAGACAAGACACAGACATTAAAATTAGGGGTGCACCGATAAATCGGCCCCGATTTCTTTAATTTTGGGAAATTTAAGGAAATTGGCCGAAACTTGCATGAGAAGCTGATTTTACAGATTTTTATTTTTATTATATTTTTGTAGTTTTAACAATTGTCTAAACTTCATTTATCTTTCAGATCGCTACCTCATGGCCAGTTAAAACAAGTTTGTATTGTTTCTAGGATATTGTTCAACGGTATGTTTTCAATAAAATAATATTGTAAAATTGAAGGTGCATTGTGAACTTATAACACCTGACAGTGTTGCTTATAAAACAAAATCGGAATCGGCCAAAATCGGAATCAGCAGCTCAGCCTTTTTAGGAATCGTGATCGGCCAGAAAACCGCAATCGGTGCACCGCTACTTAAAATAACAGGAATCGTCACTGTTCAGCGAGAAGACTGATCTCTACAGAGATGAGTGAGTTTTTCAGTCTGTTTGTTCTACATCTGGGCCAATGTTCCCTCTAATTTTTCATGTGTCTGGGCAAACACACAAGCTTCCTGAGGACCACCGTGAGCAACATCAGATGTTCACGCCGTGGTCACACACCAGTATCACACCTGTTCAAAACCTGGGATCATAGCAGTTGAATGGTTTATTAAAAGAATCAAATTACAGCAGCAATTTCCATCAGTTTACTCTTAATATAAGTGATCTTGCCCACTTCAAAAGAAAAAGACAATAATGTTGTTGTTCAAAGATATGTGTAGTATGTTATGTGTGAGTCCCGCTGTGGTCTGGGTGAGGGTGCTGCTCTGGAAAATGGTTAGCAGCATGGTGGCTACTGGTGTCAGAAGCATATTTGTAATGTTAGGGGACACACTGTTGAGGGGTCTGGGGGTTCTCCCCCAGAAAATTTTGAATCAAGTAGATGCCATTTCTTGCATTTTGGTGTATTTTAACAAGTTGTTTAACATTTAGTTTTACCTACACAAGTAACACTTGATTCAATAACTATTTTAGAGTTAATGGCACAACAAGAAGTAGCCTGACCTACAGCTCTCCTTGTGTGAATAGAGCACACTCCGCTTCTTTCACACATCCTAGTCACATTCTAAGAAACACAGTGTAGCCTAAGTTAAGTTTTAGGGAAAAAAAATCACTCGCCAATATGAAACAATAATAATAATCACTCCTTACTAATGGTCTAGCATAAAGCAATATGATCATCATCCATCGTGTTTATTAGTAGCTTAAAATACTTAATTAAAACTCCAGTAATGGGCTAGGTCTACTGTAAAGTTACCCAGTTGTAGGGTCAAGAGACAAACATGTAGCATTAACACAGTATGAACAACATTCAGGAATTGTTTCTATAAGAACGTTATCAAATATGTTAAGTGAACAGTAAGATCACGCCGCCCACAAGGAAATGTAACCCAGGGTGTGTAACCTCGGACAAACAAACAACATGGCTGTAATGTGGAGGTGGTGAAGCTCACAGCGTTACCTGAGGCATTTATTTCTTATCGACCAACATTAAGGCAAAGAAGACAGAAACAAAAAAATCTAAGCTTCCAATAACTTCAAATAGTTCCTGCTGCACAGCGACACAATGCAAGAACTCAGCATCTCATCTCATCATAACAGCTAAACCGTTAACCTCGCACCATGTCCAGTCCTCTGTTCATCCACTGACCTCACCCGAGCATCCATTATCTTTACACACTTCTTCCTTTTCGGGTCACTGGTGTTCATATCCAGCAGTCACTGTGTGAGAGGCGGGTGACACCACAGGACTCCAGTCCATCACAGGGACACCTGGACATGACTCCAGTCCATCACAGGGACACATATGCCCCTTTTCTACTATCACGGCGCGGGTCGGATATTTCCGGCTTCACGCGCGTTTGAGGTCTTTCCACTGTTCCTGTGACTGGCTCGCTTCCCTAAATTCTGGCCCGGCTTCTCAAGGGGTCCAAGCGAGCCGCGCCGTGACGTCAGAAACTCTGTTGGTCACTGATTGGTCGGGGGGAGGAGTCTGTGGAGTCTTTCCAAACAACCCGATCCACCATTTTTTATCTACCGCCTGCCATTAGCGATAACGCGAGGAGCGTATCTTTTAGTATTTTGAAACTATAAAAAAACAATATTATCAAAGCCGTGGTCAAATGCAGAAGTGCAGGTGTTGTTGTGCTTGGTGGCCGACGAAAAAAGTCAAAGCGAGCTAGATGGAGCGATTGGAGGGTGGTTTGGACACGGCCACTGCTCTACTTGAATCATTTATAGAAGATGGTGAGTGTTTTCTAACTTTAAACACATTTTAAGTTACTCATCCCATCAGTTCTGAACATATTTTTAACTAACAAAAGAGGCTGATGCCATAATAGGACAACGTCAGTGCTACGATGCTAAGCTAATTTGCATAAACGCTAACTGTCCTCCGGTCCCGTTTCTCACTGTATTTTATCCAGAATGTATTTCAGCGCGTGACGGTTCGTCTCTAAACTCCACATTAAACCCTCCAAGCCTCCCGGCTCCTGCTCCTGCTCCATCAGTGGAGTCTGCTCCATCAGAGGAGTCTGCACCTGACAGAGCTCCATCACAGCCCAGCTGCACCTCTCAGAGCAGCACAACGCTGCAGCTTCTGTGCTTGGTAAGAACAGATGCAACATGTTCCACATCACTTTATTTGTGCCGATAAGGACTTTATTTTATTTTATTTTTAAAGTAAAAAAATAAAATGTTGAATAAATACTGAATTGGGATGAAATTATGTACACAGGGTCCCAGTTACAGACAACAAAATGTAAAATAAAAACAGTAATAAGATCTAAGATATGAATTAAGAAAAATATCAACTAAAAAACATCTACTAATAAACACTAAGCACTAATAGCAGTAAACAATCAAAACAATAAGTCAAACAGCAACATGAACTTGAGTTTGTGCAGCCTCATGAATATCTAACCAGGATAATCATGTTGCTGCTGATCAGTTTCATGTTGCCGCTGATCAGTTTCATGTTGCTGTGTTCATTCGTGCTCGTCTGTTCACACAGACTCATGTCCATGCTGCTGTTCGCGTATTGTGTTTAATGTTTTTATGCTATTAGAGCTTATCATATATTTAGTTGATGTTTTTCTTAGTTCATATCTTGGATCTTATTACTGTTTTTCTTTTACATTTTATTGTTGGATGTAACTGGGACCCTGTGTACATAAATTTGATCCACCACATGTACCACGAGGTGCGAATGACAATAAAGAATATCTGCATCTGTATAATACTTTCTGATTCATATATCCACTGTTATTATTATATTATTTTCATTATTTTTAAATCAATTTATTTTTCATTTTCTTATTTGATCAGTTTATTATTATTAATATATCTATTAGAGCTGTTAGCTGCACCTTTCTTTGTTTTATGCATTTATTCAAAAACGGTATCTAGCTTGAATTAACCACCTTTTTCTTCTTTCTAGTCAAGAGAAAGAGAAAAGAGTCCAGTAAAGAAAAGTCTTATTTCATCACTGAATGAACATGAAGAACTGAACCGGACACAGCAGGAACAACACTTGTCTTCTTCTGGATGAAGCCCGTGAGGCAATGGATAGACAATCATTAGTTGGACGCAGTATTTTTTATTTTTGTATATTTTTCACTTCTTACTTTTCCTATTAAACAATTTTTTTCTTAAGTGGTGTCCTTGAACATTAAATTTCCTAAACAAATTTTACAATGTTAAGTTCATATAGTGTTTGTTTAAATTCATACTGGAAGTTGAGAAAAATTTCCAATTGCATTTGATCTTTAATGAATCCTAAGAAAAGATTACCAGAATCTGCTCAACTGTTACTATGTTATAAATGTTTTGGTTCTAGGATGAAGTGAGACAAAAACAGTCAAAAATTCAGAAAAGACAGTTATCGTTTATCAGTTATCAGTTATCGGCCGTACATCTAACCCCTGAGAGATTCAGCTGAAAGTCCTGGTGCACCTTTAATTTGAACCTGCAGAGATTTGAACAGCTGATCTGAAGCAAACAGGCAGGAGTTCACCTGAACTGACCACTCCTGCTGTTTGATGGTCTCCTTCTTCACCATCCATCCATCCATCCTCTTCTGCTTCAGGGTCGTGGGAGCAGCATCTTCACCAGGGAGGCACAGACATCAACAGCCACCTCTTCAGCTCTTCTAGGAGCCCATGGTGTTCACAGACCAACTGACTATTTATTAAGTAATATCTTGATGCTGTTCAATAATCCAGGTAGAAAAATCTAAAAAGTTAAGTCTGGTCCTCTGGACATTCACAAAACAAACAATACAGTTTATAATAAATAAACAATAAATGTTTTTTTTTGTTTTGTTTTGTTTTTTTGAATGTCCAGAGGACCAGACTTAACTTTTTTAGATTAATAAGTAATAAATTTATGTTTTTAAATTTAATGAAAGACAAATCTTTAAAATTTAAGGACAAAATTTAATCTAATTGTTTTCAAGTCTGTATCTTATTGTCAAAGCAGTTTCAAAGATTACAGCACAGTGTGATGTTTTGCAATTTTAACATGAACCTTGTGCATATCTGTAAATCATAACAGTGAAGATATTTTTAATACATCTTTAGTGTAATAATCTATACTAAAATGAAAAACACATGGGTTTAAAGCAGGCAGGGAAGGCAGTAAGGTAGGATTATGAATCAGGTTTAAAAGTTACAGCTCATGAGGTACTCCATTAGAGCATGACATCTCTTCCACAACATCCTGTGATAAAACCTTCAGGGTGTTGTTCTTCTAATATGTTTAGTGGTGGCTAGTATGGTATGGTATGGTATATAGTTTATTCATTTTAAAGAAGTACAAAACAATTCCATAACAATATAAAAAAAGATACAAAAGATTTAAAATGAAAGGCAGCAGAAAGAAGAAAAAATCTTATTATATCTGCCCCTTTTTTCAAACAATTATTTCAGACATAATAATCTTCAAGTAACAGAACAAAATGAATAACTTTCTAATTTATCTAATTCTAATACAAAACACACACTAAGCTACTTCATATATAATTTTTTAACAATTCAGTTTTGATCTTTTTCTTAAATGTGCACATTGACTTGGCATTTTTCACATCACTCTCTAGACCATTCCACAATCCAACTCCTTGGATTGAGGTAGACCTTCCCTTCAGACTAGTTCTGAATTTTGGTTTGACAAATATCTCTATCCCCTTAAGATTGTAACAACTTTGTCTTTTAACAAAATTTCTTTGGATATTTAATGGTAATGTGTGATTTTGAGCCCTATACATTGATAAAATACTATAATCTACCAAATCATGGAACTTCAATAACTTCAGTTGATAAAATAATGTGCTTGATGGGTGACAGTAATGCTTTCTGGTGATAATTCTTACAGCTCTTTTCTGTAAAATAAAAATAGGTTTTGTAAATGTTTTACACGCTTTGCCCCAAACATCAATGCAATAGATTAAATGTGGAACAATGATTGTGCTATACAACATGTACAGAGCTTTATCATTTAATAATTCCCTGACTTTGTAAAGTACTGCAATAGATTTAAATATTTTTGTTCTTACAGAATTTATGTGATTTTTCCATGTTAGCTGTTCATCAATGATTACACCCAAAAATTTCATCTCATTAACTCTACAAATCTCAACACCCTCAATTTTAAATGGATCATCAACAGTTCTCTTTTTGTTACTAAATATCATGTATTTAGTTTTATCTAAATTTAATGATAATTTATTAAGTTTAAACCAAGTTTGTTTTTTATCAAATTCTGTCTTCATCAATTCCAACATCCGTTTTACATCTTTACCCAAACAGAAAAATGTGGTGTCATCTGCAAAAAGGACACATTTGAGGAGTCCTGATACATTCACTAAGTCATTCACATATAAAATAAATAACTTTGGTCCAAGTACAGAGCCTTGAGGAACTCACAAGTGATATTGCACAGGTCAGATCTTACGCCATTTATTTGTACAAACTGTTTCCTATCTTTTAAATAGTTAGATACCCAGTGTAATGCTGGTCCTCTTATACCATATTTATTTAATTTTTCAAGGAGAATAGTGTGATCAATAGTATCGAATGCTTTTTTTAAATCAACAAAAATACTAACACAATACTGTTTTTGATCGACAGCAGTAGTTATTTGTTCCATTATTTCCATGAGAGCCATTGATGTAGAGTTTTTTGCTCTAAACCCATACTGACTGCTACTTAGAATGTTTTGTTTAGTAATGTTGTTTAGTAATGCTAGTAAGTAGCTTAAGAGAGCACTACCACCACCAGGTGGTAAGACGAGTTGGATTCTAGTCCCCGCCTACAGAGCCGGTCCAGAAATGTACATGGAAACACAACAGACCCGAGCCGATCTGAACCGACCCGAACTGATCTGATCCACACTGTGACAGTGGAAAAGGGGCAATAGACAGTGCCCTGAGACGAGTTCTGTTGTGATGTGTTTCTATATAAATAAACTGAATTGAAGTTGTGTTGAATAAACTTGTTTCAGCTCTTACATGTAACAGTGTGTGTTATAAGGTGAAAATCTTTCCTCCTGTTTTTCTTCTGACCTCTTCAGTGGTACCAGTGCTGCCCAGATCTGCTAGGAGAGTCTCTGCGAGATCTTTTTATCCAGAGCCGCCTGGACTCGGACACCAGGGCTTTTCTCCAGCACAGTAAGGAGAAGTCGGGCTGGCTGTTCACGCAGCTCTATCACTCTCTCGTCTCGACCGTCCTCGGTCCTCTCGTGTCACGGACCTCCATCAACGGGTAAGTGTTCCAACCCGAGGTCTGCTGTCCTGCTGCTTCACGTGCCTCCATGCTGCATGCTCTGTGTCTCAGGTTTCTGGGTCGGGGAGCAATGTTCGTGTTTTCTACAGACCAGTTCCGGCAGTTGCTGCGAATCGGGCCAGACTGGAGGGCCGAGAGACTCTTGGATCTCGGTGCTGGAGATGGGGGGGTCACAGAGGTGATGGGAGTCCATTTCAAACAGGTCTATGCAACTGAGGTCTCAGTACCCATGAGATGGCATCTGCAGAGGAAGAATTACTCGTAAGTGGAAGAGATGCTTCATTTCTCCAGAAGAACTGTGTTTGTACCAAGTTTTAAGAAGATTTTTACATGAGCAGCAACAATGTTTGGCTTCTGATCAGCTGTCTGGATGGCTTTGACAGACTGCTTTGTTATGTTAAATATATATTTCCCCTCTTGTAGTTTTAGTTCAAAACTAAAAAGAGACGTCCACTTCCATATCTTCAACAGCTTACACTTTTTTTTCTTATTAGATAGATCTTCAGTTCCCAAAGTTGTAGGTTGTGAAACCCACCCACCTATTCATCCGTCCATCCATCCAATATCTTTACCCTTCTTCATTTCCGGGTTGAGAGGTCCGTGTCCAGCAGTCACTGTGTGAGAGGCGGGACACCTGGACAGGTCTCCAGTCCATCACAGGGACACCCTTTGGACAATTTAGGGTTACCAATCAGTCTAACATGCATGTTTTTGGTCTGTGGGAGGAAACTGGAGTACCTGGAGAAAACCCACAAATGCACAGACTGAACATGCAAACTCCACCCAGAAAGGCCCCCCTGGCCGGGATTTGGTCCATCGACCTGCATGCTGAGAGGCAGCTTTTCCAACTGTGCCACCGTGCTGTCCCGAGGCTTAATATCACATCCATAAATCAAATTAAATTTTTAAATGATTGCTAATATCACATTTAACATAATTGTTAAAACATAAACATAGGGGGGAGTGATGGTGCAGAGGTTAGAAGATGGGCCTGTGATTGGAAAGTCACAGGGTCAACTCCCGGTACCGTCAACATAAAAGTGTGGGTGGAAAAGGTGAAACACCCACACCTGCCTCCACCCTCATTCGCCCCACCTTGGGCCCGTGAGCAAGACCCCTAACCTCAACCATCTGCTCCCTAAAACAGGTCTCTCTTGAAAATGAGTTCTCGTGACTCAATGAGTCTACCTGTATAAATAAAGGGTAAATGAGAGAAAAAAAATAAGCAGTCATAAAGTGGTTTTAAAAAGCATAACTAAACTTTTGTTTTTGTTTAAAAAAAAAGTAATCGGCTGGTTTAAATTTAATCGTTAGCAGCTCACACAGTCCGTAATCTTTTCACAGTAAAGCTGTTTTCAAATAAATGTTGATAAGAAGTAGGCCTGTCACGATAAACAATAAATCAATGAATCGCATGATAAATGAAAATTATCGACCTCATTTTCTTTTATCGGCTTTATCGTTTCTTCGTGTCTCTCTTTGTACTGAAGACGCTGGATGACAAAAAGGCTCAACTTCGGTGCTCTTCACTGACACCCCCCCACTGTCCAAAATCACATTTTTGGATAGTTAAATGCAGCTAAGTTGAGAAGCTAAGCTACGAGCTAAGCTAACAGGCCGACCTCTAGAGAGAAACCTCAGTCTTGTCGAAGCTCCAAAGTTCACGGCTGAAGCCCGTGCCTTAGTGTAAAAAGTTATTTTTCTCTGCAAAAAGAAGCTGAGAACTTGTTTACTGATTTTTGTTATTAAAAGCTTTGTGTGAAAAATGCTATGCTAAAGGGCTCAAACCACACCGTGCATCCGGCATTTTGAGAACCCAATAAAGGAACTAGAGACAGCCCATGTCACGTCAAGAGGACTCCCTCCCATTTTTCTTAGAGACATGCTGCTCGCTCCCTTACTATCCATCCCGGTTCAAACTGTCTTATACTGCCATCCAGTGGTCACAAGAATGTACTACACACAAAAATTAACCAACATTTCATCTTAAATTTGACAGTAATTACTAATGACAAATTTCAAACAATATTATAATTTATCGCAATAATTTCTGAGACAATCGCCCAGCAAAATTTGTTATTGTGACAGGCTTAGTAAGAAGCTACAAGAGTTGGCATGTTTAGCTCAGGTTTGCAGCAGAGACTAATAACTCAACTCAGCTTCTCAGACTCTCAAAATTACGGTACTTAAAAAGAGCAAAACAGCAGAGCAGTAACAATTAGTAGGGATGGGGCCGATCCAGTATCGGTATCGGCCTCCGATACCAGCATAATTTACATATCGGATTTTTCCGATCCACCTGCCGATATTTCCGATCCATGATGCACGTTGGCTTCAAACTACGGAATGGATTTCCTGAACGGCGGCGTGTCTCATGAACCCAGAGTAATAAGACGCGCCTCACATTCAGGAAATCCATTTCATAGTTTGCAGCCAGCTACAACGTGAGGACTGAGTTAGCAGCACTGTGGCTAACAGCTAACAAACTTTTCATCGAAACATGTCTGCTGTGTGGAAGTGTTTTACACTAGAAACACCACAAAACAAGACAGCATCGTGCAATGTCTGCAGAGCCATAGCGCCACATTAAACCGCTGTAAAGTTACTTTTACGATGGACATTCGAGCTCCGTGGCTTCAGTGGGGTGCTGCTCTTTGCTCAACCGGAAATAGGCGACTCGACCCCGGCCAGCCACGTCCAATCTGCCCCGCTCAGTCTGCCCATCTCCAAGGAGGGACAGACTGAGCGCGGCTGCCCCAAATCAGGCTGCTTACTTCGAATTGAACAAGAAGAAGACATCGCTGAAACCACGGAGCTCAAATGTTTACCGATAAGTTGCTAAACTTCATCATAATTAATGACCAACAACTATCAGTTGTAGAAAACGAAGGATTTCACAGTTTGATACTTGCAGCCAAGATATAGTTTACCCTCCAGGAGATATTTATCAGTACAACAGTAAACAATCATTAAAAAAAAACATATGATTTGAAAATTATATTAAAAACAAAAACAGCTACATTATAAAGTGATGTAAAATACTAAAAACGGGAACATGTCTGTTGGTTTATGCCATGAACTTAGCAGGTGTTTGAAGCCATTTAACATTTTATTTAATTTAATTCATTCATTTAAAAGAAACAAAAATTAAAAAAATCAAAAAGAAAACATTGAATGAAAAGAGTGCAGAAAGAAGAACAAAAATCTTATATCTGCCCCTTATTAAAAAAAAAAACAAATAACTTTAAACAATCACTTAAATTAATCACTTTAATATCCACTTTAAAACTAGGAATAAAAAGAAACATGTTTTGTGTTAGCAGAATTTAATTCTAACTTTAAAACTTATCCAACATTAATAAAACTTACCTCAAGTTGCCTTTTTGGACATGCATGCATATATTTGTACAAATTGTACTTGAGAGGAGATTATTATAGCCTCATATAAAATCAATGATGATGATGATATCGGAACTGGATCGGTATCGGCTGATATTCAGACTTAGGTATCGGGATCGGAAGTTTAAAAAAGTGGATCGTGCATCCCTAACAATTAGTTTAGAATTATAAATAATTTTAATTATTGTGCATATCTTATAGAACTTTTATGGACAGAATTTCTCGGTGCAGCCAGGGGAGCGGAGTGTAGTGGTGTCAGGGCCAGCTTTCTGACCCTTTCACTACTAATTATTTAAATATAACGGGTTCTCTCTTTTTCGAGTTAAATTAAGGCCATGTGACGAGATAACTGTGATGATTGTTTAAATCAGTGACATGAGACGTTAATGTCCTTTGACCCATCAGAATAAATGTGGTCATTTATTTAACAGAATCAAAATTTAATATCAAAATATGTACACGTGATTAGCTGTTTAGTTCTGATTAATAAAACTTGGCACATTTTACTTAATAAGACAACGAGACATTTCTGAAGGCATTTAGACTATTGGCAAAATAGAAGAGTTGAAAGATGGGAAATGAAGAGTTTAAAGATGGAAAAAAGGGAGGTGTTTTGTTTACCAGAATTAGCACACTTCTTTCAACACCAGCTCAACCCTCCGGTACACTTCAGGACGTGCAGAGACTTTGTTACCTTAGACGGGGATACCTCCGCTCAGGAACAGGAGTCCATTAGTACGATCCTTTTACAGCGTCTCCGGACAGTGGCTGGGCATCGTCAGAAGTCGTGTGGTTTACTCCGTTAAACAGAACCAGCTTCCTTCGAGGTTGTAGGGCATAATGCCCGGGTGAGTTCACAGCGAGCTGTGAGTCCGTCAGAGGTTCCACTCAGATGTGGAAGACTCCATAGTCCCAACTCGATTCAGAAGACTCACTCAGAAGAACTTGAAGACTGAAGACTCTAGGAAGTGTGGACTTTTAAAGAGTTCTCACTTCCGGTCACTTCAGGACTTCCTAATTGGTTGAAACAACCAACAAGGGGTGGTTCTAGTGATGACAGAGGGTCACTACAAGTCAAGAGGACAGCAGGAATGTTTTAGGAACTTTTAGTACAGACAGAAGAAATGTTTTGAAGAAGTAAGAGCAAGCAGGTGCCAGTGTTTCTTATTTACTGTCTGCTAGGTTTAAAAACAATACAGCCTGTTCTAAAAACTTCTTTCTGACTGTCTCTGACTTTCGACCGACATCACTACTTCTCATTCAGACAGAAGATCAAAATGCATAATTACTTTGTAAATAGACATTTAACTTGATTTCTAATTTAAATGAGGATTAAAAAAAAAATCATTAATACTGTTTCACAGTTGATTTAAAATGAGTGGTTCAACATTTAGAAATGATATGAACTAAACACACTTTTGATTTATCAAGATATTGTAAAATAGTAATGATAATATAAAAGAAGAGTGTTCTTTCAATTGATTACTTCAGGATACAATTAGACAGTCTCTGGATGAGCTAATTTGTATTTCTGGATTCAAATCAATGAAATAACAGTTCCTGTCCCATTAAGGTTTTCAGAGGCAGGTTTTGGTTGGAGGCTGAGTTCACTACAGGAGATAGTCTGGTTCGGTGGTCTCAGGATTCCATCTCTGCTCTTTGCAGATGATGTGGTCCTGTTGGCGTCATCGTGCCATGACCTTCAGCTCTCACTGGAGCGGTTCATGGCTGAATGTGAAGCAGCTGGGATGAGAATCGGCACCTTCAAATCTGAGGCCATGGTCCTCAACTGGAGGAGTTCAAGTATCTCAGTGTTTTGTTCACGATTGAGGGAAGAATGGAGCGTGAGATTGACAGATGGATTGGTGCAGCATCTACAGTACTGTGCGCTCTGTACCGGTCCGTTGTGGTGAAGAGGGAGCTGAGCTGTAAGGTGAAGCTCTCTGTTTACCAGTCAGTCTATGTTCCTACCCTCACCTATGGTCATGAACTCTGGGTAGAGACTGAAAGAATGAGATCATGGATACAGGAGGTTGAAATGAGTTTCCTCTGCAGGGTAGCTGGACTCTCCCTTGGAGATAGTCTGAGGAGTTCAGTTGTCAGGAGAGACTCAGAGTAGAACCGCTGCTCCTCCACATCGAGAGGAGCCAGTTGAGGTGGTTCAGACATCTGATAAGGATGCGTCCTAGTTTCCTCCCTGGGGAGGTGCTTCAAGCATGTCTGACTGGGAGGAGACCCTGAGGAAGACCCAGGACACGCTGGAGAGAGTACGTCTCGGTTGACCTGGGAACACCTTGGGGTCCTGCTGGAAGAGGTGGCTGCTCAAGCTGCTGCCCCCGAGACAGACGGACCTTATAGAAGTGATAGAAACTGAAGACAACATCTTTAAAACAAGTCTTTTCTTAAAGAGAAAGTTGAATGAACCTAAAACAGTATGTTAAACTCTATAGTGAACAGAACATGTTCATGTGAAGAAACTGTCATTAAACACGCTATTCAAGGTCAAATCTGTTCATAATGTCTTCTACAATCTGCTGAGAGAAGCTGCCTCCTAAAACTGCTCTTAAATAAAATAAATAAAAATAAAATAATAATAAAATGATGAATTCAGCCTTACCTCAAATCCAGTTGTCTGTTGAAACACAATGTGTTGTTTGTGGTGATGTGCCTCGTTTTTTCATGCAGGTTACTGGGTACAGATGAGTGGCAGCATGCTGGTTTCCAGTACAATGTGATCAGCTGTTTGAACCTGCTGGACCGCTGCGACGATCCTCTGCAGCTCCTGCAGGACATCAGAAGATCCTTAGTCCCAAAGACAGGAAGACTTGTCCTGGCTGCTGTGCTTCCTTTCCAGCCATGGGTAGAAATTGGTCAGCAGGAAGCGGAACATCCAACTCTCTGGGTTTGATTTGCAATCCAAATAACGGCTGTGGGGTTTTTTTGTTTTCAGGAGGAAAGTGGGTGCGGCCAAAAACACACCTAAGAGTTGCCGGAAAGACGTGGGAGGAGCAAGTAACCAACATGTCCAGTGACGTTTTTCAGCAGGTTGGCTTTCAGGTGGAGGCTGTGACCCGTTTGCCGTACCTCTGCGAAGGAGACATGTACAACGATTATTATGTTCTGGATGATGCTGTGTTTGTTCTCAAGGCCTCGGATGAAGGTGACGATTCTGCTCCATAAGATCTGAACGCCCTGAGAAAATGTGGGGTTTTTATCTTCATGGATTCCTCCTGGGTGGATATCTGGTACACTGCTTCTTTATTTCTGTCTCAGGTACAAAGATGTTTTGTAAAAAAAAACCATTGTTGGATTGTATACCTGAATTATTGAGCATGAACTTTGGTGTTTTGAACCACTTTGACGTGACTGTCTCAGAGGAGTTGATGGGGGAGAGGGTGGGCCCCAGAAGCTGTCTTAGCACCAGCAAACTGGTTTGTTCCACTATGGAATATGCTGTTAGTGGAGAATCAGTGAGTTTGGTGGCTCCTCAGACTGAAGAAGTCCTTTGGATGACGGACGAAACATCTCAGCACAAAAAAAAGAAACCATCCAGATGTCCTGACTGAACATTGTTGGATTATCACCTGGATTATTAAGCATGGACTTTGATGTTGTGTAGTTTGGATCTTTGGGATCTTGCGATACCTCAGCTTTGGATGCAGAAGTAACGAGAAAAGTATAACTGACAATCATTTTACAACATACCTCACCAACTGTTCTGTGAGGTGTCAAACAGCTGTTCAGATGATCTTTATTGATGAAGGTTATGAAAGTCATCGTAAAGTCATCTCTGACATGCCAACGTCTCTGACCGCAACAGTTTCAACTCTGAGTGTCGGAAAAATAGCAAAACAGAACATTAAACAAACAGAACAGTAAAGTTGCTTAGAAATCAAACTGCCAAACTTGCTAACAAAAAAAATCATACACATGCACGCAAATACTAGCCATAACATTATGACCACCCGTCTAAGGCTTAGTATCTCTAACTTGCCACCTAATGGACTCATCTGGGAGGTCTGACCGTGTGATAGAAACATTGGAATGGCCACTGACAGTGCTAGGCGAGCTGTCTGGCTGCCATCTTGTGAAGAGTGACGTACGTCTCTGTTTTGTTTACACGTCAAAGCCAATCGTTAACGCTTTGTGTGTTCTTTATACAGTCCACAGTCTCGTAGAAAAAGCCTCATCTGACTTAAATAAACACACATATACATACATACATACATACATACATACATACATACATATATATATATATATATATATAGATATAGATAGATATACATATATATATATATATATACACATAGATATAGATATACATAGATATATATATATATACACAT